AATCATTTTGATTCTGTGGACAATGATTGCATGCTTCACTTCTAACAGAACCCTTTGATTCCATAAAATGTTGAACTTACATTGGCATGGCAGAAGAGCTGTGAATTCCTCTTGGCTCGAGTATTTCATCCACTAATTGTTCAGATATTTTGGTAAAAGCCAAAAAGTGTCAATCTGACAGTGGTGTTACATATAAAGTCAAGAAACTTTCCAAATTCCAAAGCATTTATCCTCTGGGTTCCAGTTTTTTCGAGATATTTCAGTCCTGACAAGGGTTGTAGGACCTTCACTGACCAACAACCTGACATTGCCATCCCTAAAGCTGTCCTGCTAGTGTGTAACAATCAAGAAACATCAGTGTATCTCAGTGCTGTTGAAACAGACTAGTCATGCATTAAAAGATGCAATCAGCAGTCCTCACTCCATCATGCTCAAAAAAAGAAAGCACAAGACCTCCATCATGGCTGCCACAGGGGTTTTTACAGTACTTGAAACCCCCACAAAGGTTCATGTTCAGTCGTGGCTGAGCATTCATGTCGCTCAGGTTTTGTGTTCTTGTTTTCATTTTGAAAAGCTCATCTAAAATGTCAAACCTTTGGGTGTCACTGTGACGAACAAGGGATGCAATCCAGTGCTTAGAGTTTAAGCATATTCCCAAAGCAGCTGACGCTGGAAATGAACCTCGACTGACCTTCTGTACAATGTGCTTGCAGGCTCTTTCTTTTCTTTTCCTTCGCTTTTTCAGTCAGCTAATCGTTACTAAGCACAGTAAACTCTTACTTTTGGACAGAAAGTCCTTTCTTCTTAAAATAACTTAGTCTATTTATATGTATATATGTGTATACTGAACTTCTTAATCCTTTAAGTGGTTGTGATTCAGGACCACGGGCTTGTTGAAAAAGAGGAATAATGTCTTCTATTAGCTTGCATTATATAAAAAAGCTAGAAGAAATCAAATTTAATTAACTGGCTTTGTTTAGAGGGATGTGGCAGAAGAAGGCCTCTCTTGTCTTCTTTGTTTGGAGAGTTGGAAGGGAGAATATTAGAATCAAGGCCAGAGACAGCTGTAATTTATAAGATTGTGAAAGAACATGTGGCTTCAGGGGGCTTTTAAAAGCATGAAGGCTCTTGTAGCTATGGAGATACACTGGCAACACAATGCCTGTCTGCAGAAAAGATAACTGTAAAACACACACCAAGAGAAATATGATGGCAATAATATTTGCCAACTACATCCCTCTTGCATCATGGTGATTGCTCCTCTTGGTTATAGATGGCTATCCTCTAAATTAGACCATTTACATAATTAGTCTGGTTGCCAGTACAGGGCACGACAAGCCTTGCCACTTGCTCATTACTGCTGTCACTCATTTTTGCATGTCAAACTGGTTCAACTTGTCAATTGAGCTCAGCTTTTTTTCTTTTACTTACAAGGAGACACCAGTGTTGTTGATGTATTAGCTTTCAAGAAAATTCAATTCCCAATGTGCTTGCTAGTGCTTGTGTCTAATGTCTACCCCCAAGCAATACCCTGCATGTGAAACTGTGCCATTTTAAGGTTGAACATCTCCAGAATTAGTACAGAACATAGTTGCTCAAGCTTTAAAGCCTTTTGAGCAGGCCATTCTCCTTGTAAGCACTCCATGGAAAAAGCACTTTTACATGTCACTGAAGTGGAACAATGGGCTTGTAACAGAAACACATATCTGACAACACGCTACATTAAAAGAAAAATCGATTTTTATTAAGAAAAAGGCAAGCCACTTCTATTATCTTTTTCTTTAAAAGTAGCCTAGAGGCTGTCTTTTTACCATTACCCTTTAACATGTACCAGGTCCCCAGTTGCCTCTTTTGAGTTTTGAAAGAAACTAATAGATAGAAACAGTCAGTCAAAATCTAGTAAGATGTGTGGCTACATAAAGAATGGTGTCTGGGTCCAGATCCAGACTGCTGGCCACCTATTGGTGAGGGCATAGAACAGAATTTATAATGGTCTCTAACAAAATAATGCCACACTTCTTAATTATTTTAAACAACTCACAATATAAAACATTTTTCTTTGGACAAGGTGTTTCCCTTAGATTATAAAATGTATTCACTTGGACAGTTTGCATTTTGGAAAACACTTCCCCCAAAAAACACTTTCTGAGAGGCAGACTTACTTTAGCATTCTCTTGAACGACTAGTGTCCCCACAAATTCAAAACCTCCACATCAGTGCCGGTATAAGCAGTAGAATTTAAACAGGAAATAAAAAACCTTCTTTTTAAAGTTTTCTTCAGAAAGTCACATGTTTTCAATAGTTTGAAAAAATAAATAAATAAATAACCAAACTCTGAACCGCTATACCTCTGAGCCACTGTATGGATGTATCATTGAAATTATTGTAGAAACACAGCCATACTGCCAACGCCACGATAGGTGCGCGAACAGCTGTAACAAAACAAGAGCTGCAACAGTAGTAAGTTTTCTAATGTAACCAAATTTTCTTTTCTTGTAACGTAACAGCACTACTCTTTAGGCAACAGCAGCTCAACCCAAATATGCTCCAATAGCAAAGTTTGGCAGCAACTTATTTAATTTGAATCAATTTCTCGCTATTATAATAACAATGGAATTTGTTTGGTACCCTAAAAAATACCAGGTTCGTGACTCAAAGCATGCGCTAACCTCATCATCTGCTAGGTTGCCTGTGACCCATGTAAAGTTAGGCTTGGGCTAGGTTCATTTCTACCCATAATATGTAATTTTTACCTATTTGGTATTCCCAAATGACTATCTTATAATGCCCAAATTGCATCTTAGAGAGATGATTTGATAGATGACTTCTGTTTTCTGGAACTGTGTTTTTTACCATGAGACTCAACAACACCCTAGCCCTACCAGTAAACCGTTTACTGGCCATCAGACAGTGTTGGGGAGTAACGGATTACATGTACCGCTGTTGTTCTGGGAATCCATCCTACCTGGCAAACCATCCTACCTGTTGTTTCTGCGCATGCGCACAACACGAAATTAAGTGGCGAACCGTCCTACCTTTGTGAATATTAGCTAGAAAAATACTCTGATGGGTTAAATTAACTGCCAAACCATCCTACCTTTGTGAATGTCACCTACAAGCATACTTAAACAGCTAAAATTAAGTGGCAAATCGTCCTACTTTTGTTAATCTGAGCTAGAAGCATACTTTAACAGCTAAAATTAAGTGGCAAATCATCCTGCCTTTCTTAATAAGAGCTAGAAACATACTCTGACGGGTAAGATTAAGTGCCAAACTATGCTATCTTTGTGAATGTTACCTACAAGCATACTTTAATGGGCAAAGTTAAGTGGCAAACCGTCATACCTACTTAAATTGGTGCTGGAGTTACTCTGTGACAGCAGAAATGTGCATAAACTACTTATGGTAGGACATTTTGCCAAAGTAGGATGGTTTGTCAGAACACCGTTACGTATTTAAAATACAAAATATGCGTAACTGTATTCCGTTACAGTTACCATTTAAAAAGGTGGTATTCAGAAAACAGTTACTTTGCTGAAATAAAGGGATTACATGGTGGTTTTTTCCTGTTTCATATGTTCGGCTATGCCCTCTCTATTTTTGGTTTCCATGCCGCAAACAAAACGCGCATTAAGAGGCTCTAATGCCTGTATCTCAATCTCGCGGCCCATGTCACCCCTACTTGTATGGCGTTATTTTTGTGCCACTATTCTGAGCGCACGTAAAAAAAAATTTGAGCACACGTAAAAACAGATTTGCAGGTGCGTTATGAGGAGAAATTTATTTTGAGCGAAGAAAAGCTAAATTTGAGTGAACAAAACTCATTGCTGCATGCAAAAAAATGTATTTTTGTAATATTCACAAAAATAACGCCATATACTTGCGGCCGCATAATGACGTGAAGAAATATTTTAAAAAAATTATTCACAAAAATAATTTAATATGAAGGCAATAGGCAGAGTGTTATAGGCATCACCCTAAGAATGTAGCCTCATGGGCAGTGTAGTCCGTGCTGCAGGGAGAATGGACTGCCTTACCAGTTATGTGTCTGTGAGCGAGGGAGGGAGAAAAAGGAGAGTGGAAAAGTACGAGCTGTCACCGAGCAGAAACGGGAGCTGGAAGCATGTAAATATAATAATAACCACTGCAGCCAAAAAGAGTGCCTGACGAGCCCAGTTGTAAGTAAGCTATTAAGACTCGACTGTACAGTTTTTTCGTGTTTTTCTCCGAAACAATAAGTTCTGTTGAAACAGCCTTTCAACGCCTCTCTCTGTCTCTCGCTAGCAAAGCTGACCCAGATAACAAATTAAAGCTAGTTCTCAGCTACGAGCCCAACACGGAACCCGACGTATTAGCCAGAGGTCCCTTTACTACGGTTCGGAGCCGCAGACCTGTTTTATATACGCATGAAACAGTTTTCTATATGAGATCGCTGCAAAAAATGCAGCCTTACCTAATGTCCACCCTACTGTTACTCATTTTATATTAAGATTTAAAAATCTAGTCGGTATTGGTATGGCGAGTAACCTTCAGTAAAAGTAATAATTCACATTCATGTAGTTGTAAAAAGCATGATAATATAATAGGTAATCCAAAGTATTCAGAATACGTTACTAACAGAATACGTTACAAAATACATTTTGGGGCATGTATTCTGTAATCTGTAGTGGAATACATTTTAAAAGTAACCTTCCCAACACTGCCATCGGATGTATGTTACTTTAAGAGGTTAAGATGAAAACTACAGTAAATAATTCAAGAGAATTTGTTCACTATGGTTGTACATAATAGATTTCAAGGAAACAAGTTGTTCAGTTGGTCTGCAGTCCACTCAACTACTAACAAAAACTGGCTGTATATAACATATATAATTTAGGCATAAAATAAAAACTGCATTGTTGCAACAATCTTTTCTGTATTCTTTATTTCAACTTTTATTTCTACCTTTCTCTCCCTTTCATATTCTTTCATTTACACCAAATTCTCCATGTGGTTTCTAGACGGCTACCCACGAGATGAGATTGTGTACAAATGGAAGCGAAACTCAGTGGAGACATCTGATCAGAAATACTGGAGGCTTTACCAGTTTGACTTCATGGGGCTCAGAAACACTACGGATGTCCTCACGACTACGGCTGGTAAGTAAAGTGCTGAGAAAAGTTCAAGGAAAGGTTGAGAACTCTTCACTTCAGTGAGAGAGAACGTGCTGAACTATAGCATTTCATTCATTTTTGACAAATAATAGTAAGAAACTAAAGAAAATAGGCAATAGTGGAGGTCACAGGGCAACTGGAGTTGTCAGGGGTTCACAGTTAAGCTGAAGAACTGTTCAGCCTCTCGTGCTGCTTCACTACCTTGGCGCCTCAAGCTTCGCACACGTTAAGATTAGCACCATGCCCATAAATGTAATCATATAACTACAAGCTCAAAGCTCATAAGTATTCCCCTCGGGTGTAAGGCCAAATAGGTTTTTCCACTGACATTAATCACCAAGATTAAACATTAAAAAGGAAGTTTAATTATTCACTTCTTTCCATCTCCCTTCCCATGCTGTTAGACCTTGTATACTTTGACAATTTAATGTAAGTTTAGGAAAGAAAAAAGTACTGTTGCCCCAACAAGTTCCTATAACTACATGCACATTTGGGACAAGCTCTTAATGTATATTCATTCTTCCACATGACCCTTGGAGATAAAAACTGATACTGACTGGCTTAAAAATGAGGCATAATGAACGACGGATCTATCTCGAAGAACACTTCACACCAATTGTTAACCCCTTTTAACCTTGTTTATGAGTTGCATGTTCCCCGTGGTTTCAGCCATGTGCTCTTTTGTCTTCGGAGAGACGTGCTCAGATCTGCATAATGTGACCGGATTCAGCTTTCTAACAGCTGAACCTTCATTCATTAATATTTGAGGAAGTAGAGTATGATTAGGAGAGTGATAACAGGGAGTGGCATCAAATTAAGGTGATAATAAGTTGTACTGCTTTATTCTTGTTTTGCAAAATGTAGAAGCATTGTCCTTTTTTGTAGTCATTTTCTTTCCAGTGCTTAAATACAGCGTATAAACTGTATAAAAAGTAAGGAAGCGTATGTTTGGCCGGTTATTTCTTTGTTGGAACAATGCTTCTTGGCAATAAATCTTATATAGTTTGATAAGCATATTTATTTCCCATTAAATTTTGCCACATTTGTAAGAAAAATACAATGCAGAGTTGAGTATGTGGGTTGTGCCCTTGAAAAACCAACCAAATTGTCTCTGTGAGTGCCAAACAGCTTATTGTGCTACTGATTCTTGTTTTGAACTTCAGGTGAAATCAGGTGTGTACCTACAAATAGCGGCATCTGTGAACATGGACCTTGCTATAGTGTTCAGTTGGTGTCTGCTGTAAACATACTACCCTTGACTGATTTGGATAATTTGATTTGTTTCTTCAGACTTCAATCACCCAATCCAGTAAATCACACCAAACAGCAGTCAATGGCAAAATAAACTGTTTGGCATTGACAGAGAAATGTCAAGGGTTTAATGTTGTATCATCTAAGGGGAAATAAACAGGCTTTCCAACAGCATAAGATTTATTGCCAAGAATCATTGTTACAACAAAGAAATATTCGACCTAACAGAAATTTCTTTGCTGGTGCTGGTTTAGTTTATTTGTTTCAGATCTATTTTTATGCTTTTTAGTGGGGAGGGCTGATGTACAATTAAAAAAAAAATGAAATTTTGCTATATTATGTTCTGAAAGTGCAACCAAAGCTTTGCCTCAGCAAAGAACAAAGGTGAGAGTTCATCAAGTACAGTGATATATTTAAAAAACCAAATGAAGCCAACTGGGAAGCTGATTTCATAATCAAGTCAGTCCCTACAGACTCTTAAAGATAGAGGCCCAACTTTTAACTTCTATGTATAGTTTCCCCCTTTATAACATCTGTATGGTAGTTAATTTTCTTTTAGGTCATTTTTGCTTTGACTGCTCTGATACAGGTTTTTATAGCTTCAGGGTCTGTTAGATCTCATTTCCACTAACTGGAGTAATTGAACATAACCTCGGTAATTTCCAGCCATGCAAGAAGTTTGTGATTCAGTTTTGGTTTGTGAATTCCTAGTGTTTTTTTTTTTCAGATTGTTACTTATCAGTAATTAGTAGATATGTGTGTCTGTGCATTGTACCCATACAATTTGTGGATGTTTCACACCTTTTGGAAAAGACTTGCTATTGTGACCTTTTCTACACTACTGCTTGATTGGCATACACGGATGGGATACATGCTTTAACAAACCTAGTTGCAAAGCAGTTGGCATGTTGCTGCCATTAAATTTAAAATGAGCTACTGTTTTTTTTCTTAAAATGATAGTTCAAACAGTTAAATAATTATTTTTTTCTTCATATAGCACCAAATCATAAAAACAGTCAGCTCTATTAATACAATGAAAACCCCAGCAATCAAACGACCTCCTGTGAGAAAGCACTCTACAACTGTGGGGAGGAAAAACTCCCTTTTAACAGGAAGAAATCAGAACCAGGCTTAGGGAGGGGACAACCACAGTCCTTCACAAAAGCCTAATAATAACTAATGATTAAATATAAAGTGGCGCAAAGAAACACAAAGATCATGGAAAACTTCACCAGCAGCCTAGGCCTACTGCAGCATAACTAAGGGAGGATTTGGGGTCACCTGGTCCAACCTTAACTATAAACTTTATCAGTATGGTAAAAAATAAATAAATAAAAGTATGAATTTACCTAGATTTTGTTTGGAACTTTATTTGTTGAACTATATTAAAATTATATTAGATATTATATTAGGATAATTCTAATATAATATCTAATATAATTTTTGTCTACCAAAGTGTTACTGCCTGCAGATAGCTATACATACATAAGTGAAGCCTGGCATAGTACATCATGGCTGGACCACTGTATCTGTACAGCTGATGGACATGCAGCTTTAGCAAACATGACTATTAGGTACGAGGTAACTGTGTCAGACCATATACCTTGGGAATCCATTTATGTATATGTGTATGTATATGTGTATGTATATATATGTGTGTGTATATGTGTATATGTGTGTATATATATATATATATATATATATATATATATATATATATATATATATATATATATATATATATATTAATAAAAAAAAAAAAACAACACCCAGCACGCCCCTGTGGGCGGTTTATCCTTCAAGCTCGGGTCCTCTACCAGAGGCCTGGGAGCTTGAGGGTCCTGCGCAGTATCTTAGCTGTTCCCAGGACTGCGCTCTTCTGGACAGAGATCTCTGATGTTATTCCCGGGATCTGCTGGAGCCACTCGCCTAGCTTGGGAGTCACCGCACCTAGTGCTCCGATTACCACGGGGACCACCGTTACCTTCACCCTCCACATCCTCTCGAGCTCTTCTCTGAGCCCTTGGTATTTCTCCAGCTTCTCGTGTTCCTTCTTCCTGATATTGCTGTCATTCGGAACCGCTACATCGATCACTACGGCCATCTTCTTCTGTTTGTCTACCACCACTATGTCCGGTTGGTTAGCCACCACCATTTTGTCCGTCTGTATCTGGAAGTCCTACAGGATCTTAGCTCGGTCATTCTCCACCACCCCTGGGGGCATCTCCCATTTTGACCTCGGGACTTCCAGGTTATACTCGGCACAGATGTTCCTGTACACTATGCCGGCCACTTGGTTATGGCATTCCATGTATGCCTTGCCTGCTAGCATCTTGCACCCTGCTGTTATGTGCTGGATTGTCTCTGGGGCATCTTTACACAGCCTGCACCTGGGGTCTTGCCTGGTGTGATAGACCCCAGCCTCTATGGATCTTGTACTCAGAGCTTGTTCTTGTGGTGCCATGATTAGTGCCTCTGTGCTGTCTTTCAGTCCAGCTTTGTCCAGCCACTGGTAGGATTTCTGGATATCAGCCACCTCCTCTATCTGCCGGTGGTACATACCGTGCAGGGGCCTGTCCTTCCATGATGGTTCCTTGTCTCCCTCCTCTTTCTTGGGTTTCTGCTGCCTGAGGTATTCACTGAGCACTCAGTCAGTTGGGGCCATCTTCCCAATGTATTCTTGGATGTTCGTTGTCTCATCCTGGACTGTTGTGCTGACACTCACCAGTCCCCGGCCCCCTTCCTTCCGCTTAGCGTACAGCCTCAGGGTGCTGGACTTGGGGTGAAACCCTCCTTGCATGGTAAGGAGCTTTCTTGTCTTTATGTCAGTGGCTTCTATCTCCTCCTTTGGCCAGCCTATTACCCCAGCAGGGTACCTGATCACGGGCAGGGCGTACGTGTTGATGGCCCGGATCTTGTTCTTACCATTCAGCTGACTCCTCAGGACTTGCCTGACCCTCTGCAGGTACTTGGTGGTTGCAGCTTTTCTAGCGGCCTCTTCATGGTTCCCATTCGCCTGCGGGATCCCCAGGTACTTGTAACTGTCCTCTATGTCTGCAATGTTGCCTCCTGGTAGTTCAATCCCCTCAGTTCTGACTACCTTCCCTCTCTTTGTTACCATCCGACTACACTTCTCCAGTCCGAACGACATTCCAATGTCATTGCTGTATAGCCTGGTAGTGTGGATCAGTGAATCGATGTCTCGTTCACTCTTGGCATACAGCTTGATGTCATCCATGTACAGGAGGTGGCTGACAACTGCTCCGTTCTGTAGTCGGTATCCGTAGCCAGTCTTGTTAATGATCTCACTGAGGGGGTTCAGGCCTATGCAGAACAGCAGTGGGGACAGAGCATCTCCTTGGTAGATCCCGCACTTGATGGTGACTTGTGCTATGGGCTTGGAGTTGGCCTCTAGTGTTGTACGCCACATCCCCATTGAGTTCCTGATGAAGGCTCTTAGGGTCCCATTGATCTTGTACAATTCTAGGCATTCCAGTATCCAGCTGTGGGGCATTGAATCATAGGCCTTCTTGTAATCAATCCAGGCAGTGCACAGGTTGGTCAGTCTGGTCTTGCAGTCTCGGCTGACTGTTCTGTCTACCAGTAGCTGGTGTTTTGCGCCTCTGGTATTCTTGCCAATTCCTTTCTGTGTCCCACTCATGTATTGACCCATGTGCCTGTTCATCTTAGCCGATATGATGCCTGACAGGAGCTTCCATGTAGTACTGAGGCAG